TATGATGTTAGCAGCTTATATTTGATCAATTTAATGAAAATAATACAAAAATGTTAAATAATCAGACCACAGGTATCTAAGCATCTCATAAATAACACAAAATATTGAAAGGTTTAAAGTCTTTATCTCAACAGCAAGTAATCTGCAATTTCCCAGTATTACAGAAAGCACATCTCCAATTTGCAGCATGTGCAAATCTAACTTCTGCAGCCTGCCTGGAAAACCACCAAATTTGAGTTCTTTTTTTCTCAAGGCAAAGGGAGCAAATGAAGAAAACCTGCAAGACTGCTCTCCAGCTTTGATGTGGCTGAACACAGCTGAAGCTATCTATAGAGGAAAGAAAAGTCTCTAAACCCATAGATATAAGTATTGATAAGTTATGCTACTAGTAAAAAGGCTTTTAATAAGCTTTAGTGCCTAACTGGTTGTAAACAGATGATGGAAATGAAGATTTCTAGTCAAGTGTTCATTTGGTACAAGTGCTTATATAGACAGTCACAAATTAAAGGAATCTGCTGGGATTCATCTAATTCACGTGTTGCCTGTAACAGCATCTTACAGAGCCAGCCCTCTAGCAACACAGAAACCAGACAACTGAACTGTTCCACACACCTCTTTTCACTCCTGTTATATCATCTGCTGGCTTGGCATAAAAAGGGAAGAATATTACCAAGAAATGTGGCACTTAAGTGTATAACAGTTTATTCACAAATTTGGAATTAAAATTAAGTTCAGATTACTTTAATAATTCATTAGACTCTTTAGGCTGTAGTATATTTGCTTTATAAAACAACACATCTTTAAAAGAACAAATGCTGTACCAACATTACCCACCATTACTCTGAAGACTGAATGCTGGTACATTTTCCTGCAGATGAAGAAACTGCCATCTCTGTTTTCACATGCCATGCCAAAACCAATCATACACAAAGTTTTACTTTAAAGCATTGTGAAGGCAGAAAATAAAGCCCAGGAAACTCGAGAATATCTCAAGCTAAAGACCTGGAAAATAATCAGATAGCTATTTGGTAGTATTTTAGTACAGTTTCCCACAATATGCAGTCAGGTCCAATGCAAGAGGATTTCTGTGAAGTCCTACATACTTGCTGCTTACCTGCATGCCCTCTATTTAACAGAAACACTCACAGGATCTCAGCCAAGAGATGCATGAACAGCACTACAGTTAATATTCCTGTCAGACCATATCCTCCCATTCTCACAGGAACTATTATGCAACTGTCCTGAGATCTGTTGACTCAGAGAACGAACAGTTTCTGCAGCAGAGTTTGGGATAAGACAATAACCCCAGTTCTCACCTATTTAGTTACACTCCCAAGGTCTACATGAAGCTATACAGCATAACACTTTTGTCCAAAAAAAATAAGCATTTTTTTGCAACTTCAGGTGAAACGAGGAAGGGAAACCTAGTTGCTCACATCAGCAATTCAAAGGTGAACAAGACCCTGCTTCAACTCATATAATATTCTAAATCATCCCACTGGGCTAGAACCTCAGATTTACAACTTGCCCCGTTATTTCTGGAATCAATAGGGAAAAATAAGTCTTTGTATGTAAGTGTTACCAGTATTTGGAATTTATCTCAATCAATTCTTTAAAGAAAGGGTAAGTAAGAACTGTCAAATGCTTTAGGTGATTGATATGGCTGACAGCTTAAAATGAAGCTTGCTGAAATAATTTTAATTCCATTTGCAGATTATCCGAGAAACAATTTCTCTTCCCAGAAGACAGTTTACCACAGAGAGGAACTTGTTCTCTGCCCGTTGTAGAGATCAACTTTCTCCTGAGCATGTTGTCTAATGGATTCAAACTCTGGAGTCTCTGCACAGGAGGCAACCCCATCGTTCCCCTGGATCTGAAGGGCTTAGTCAGACAAAAGCAGAGTTATTCAGAGCCCTGTGAGAATCCCCCATTTGCTGCTTCTCTGCTTGTTCTCACTTTTTTTGGTCAGCTGGTAAGACCGGGGTGCAAGCTGGGAATAGCTATCCTAGCTTCTGAGAGAATTCAGCATCAGTCCATCCTGGGACTGCTTTTGCCAAACTTTCATAGGTAACACCAAGGTGAACCTAAATTACCTTTTAATTTTAATAATAGTATGTCTTCCATTTATGATACCACTACTAATGATGTTAGACACAGGAAAAAGACTATGCCAGTCATCTACATTATCTCAAATAGCTAATACTTCAAATAATATAATGAATTAAAGCAGAAAGTATTGGGCACCAGTCTTAGATCACTTTTTTCAATAAAACTTTAAAATCTGGCACATAGAAAATGACTCCACTTGTTATGAAATTGATAATTTACATCTTGAAACTGTAGATTGCTTTAGGAGGGCACAATGCAGTGTTTATTATTGCTCTTATCTATAATAAAAATAATCTGTTAACATTTCTGTACAAGATGTTTTAGAGAAAGCTTAGGAAATTAAATCAACTTGTTTGTGTCCCTTAACTATACTTCACAGATTTTAAATAGAAACAGATACCTATCAAGTACACACAGCTGAATATGACCTTGCTGCAAAGTCCATGAATCATACAGACAGCTCCCACTACACAGGTATTGAGTTTTCTCTATGTATCTCTCTCTTCAGATGTAGGTCTAAGACAAACATCCAGTATGAAATTATTGAAATCAGTGGTTTTTTACTGATGCTACTCAAATGTGAATCTTCTGATGGCATCTCACATGCTATACAAGAGCAAAGATGATACAGTTCCTCTTTTATTATTTCAATTACCACTTTCATACTTCCTTGAACTCATTTTAAAGCATGCCATTTTTAATTTTCTCTGACCAATATTCACCTGCTCACCACTTACCACATAACAATACTGGAATGGGGTATAAGACTTATAACTTCTGTTGCTCTTCTTGGATAGCCTCAGGCAGTGTCATTCCTCTTGTCTCCAGAAGGGACTTGAATCAAACAGAAATATGGTATGGAGTTTGGTAAACTGCCTGTAAAGCACACATTATTTCAGTCATAAAATGTGCAAACAAAATTCCCTAGTTATCTTCTATCTTAACATTTAAAGGCTAAGAAAATTAACATCCTGATTTAATTATTCTCAGCATTCAGCATAGAGCTTGTTGAATATTTAGTCAAAAATCCAGTCCTGTTCAGAAGGGAGGGTGGCTTTGGTGTATTTGCATTGCTCCAAATACAGTTGTGTGACTGAACCTCTGCAGAGATCCACTTTGTTCTCTTCACTATCACGTCCCATACTTAGTCTCAAATACATCCCCAAATGTGTACTGCAAACACAGCCTGATACTGCAAGCAGCTGATAATTAAGTGAAGCTCGTAAATCAGAGAGACCACAGCTGAAAGCAGGATAAGAACTAAGCACATTAACCTTAAGATATACCTCTACATGCTTGACCAAACTGGCTAATCATATTTTTCATTTAACCTTTGTGTATGTGAAATGGTATTCTAACCAATGGAACAAGGTGAAAATAATTAGCTTATAAGAACTAATTGCCACAAGACCTTTCACCACCTTCTTTCCTAAAAAAAAAATTCAAGAACTTGCACAGAAATTGAGATTTAACTAATGAGAACCTGCAGATGACTGAAATCAAACAGTACCTCAAAGCTGACACAACCACTGAGAACACTCCAACCCCGTGACCTCAAAATTAACACCAAAATAGAAGTTTTCCATGAACCACCTAGAGTATTGACAGAAAAGCAAATCAGTAGTTTGTTTCTGAAGCCCTGTGGGAATATCCAAAGAACAAACTGGCCTAAGAACAAACTCCTTTCTTATTTTCCATGTCACTTACTATCAAGGATCTCTGTTCTTTAGGCTACAGTTATAAACCATCCTCATTACAGATAAGAAGTAGTCTTACTAGTGGACCTTAGGAGAAATTCTTCTGAATCTTGGGACAGAGAACCACATTATATCAAGATAAAAACTGAATATCAATTGCCCAAAGAGTTTATGTATGTTCAAAGATTCTATGACTAAGCTTCCTGCTTAGTCACATTAAACTTACACATTAAACTACTTGCCCACAAGGCTCATAGCACAGCCCTTGGATGTCCACAGTGGTTAGAGAGATTCTCATAGAGATAAACCAATTTCCTGGTTATTCCTGCCCTAAGGGCATTGGCCTCCCACAAGCCTAAAAAGAGAAACACCCAATTTTTCAATTAGTATCTTCCAATTAGTGGCCCAAACCTACAGAAAATGACCCATACTTATAAAAAGAACATGGTTCAATAGTACAACACACTATCACCCACGCTCTGAAAGCAGACCTTGCACAGTTTAAAGCAACAGTCTTAGAAATGTAAATACCCGAGCTACATAAAACCCACGGATTTTAATAGACCAACACCCAACAAAAGGCTAACAGTTGACTACACAAAGCAGGCAAAACTCAGAGGTCTCTTCCAGCCCCAGTTCCTCGGTGGTTCTCTGAAAGCTGCCATGCCAACAGCTCCACCTGCAGCCTCTGTCCCCTCTTGCCAGGGGCCACCTAAACACACGTGGGTAAGCCGGGTTATCCCGGCAGCTTCCCCTGCGAGCGCTGTACCCTGCTCGGTGTGAACACAGCCCCGCTCGCAGCTGCACTCGCGCCAAGAGAGGCCCCGTTCTCCACCCGGCTGAAGGGCAGCGTGTGACAGCTACCTGCGCCGGGTTCCTCACGGGCCGCAGCGCTCCTGGCCCTGGGGCAGCGGCGCGGCTCCCCCGGCGCGGGGAGGCAGGGCCGTGCCGGAGGAAGGGGAAGGGGAGGAGGGGAGGGAAGGGGGGAAGGGGCCGGGCCGGGGCCGAGCGGGGCCTGCGCGGGGCGGGAGCACAGCCCAGCACAGCCCGGCCCCGCCGCGCCCCCTCCCGGCCCGCGAATCCCTCCGGGGGCGGCGCGGCCCGCGGGGCGCACGCGCGCTCGGGAGGCGCGGAGCGTTCCCCGCGCCGCCCCCCCCGGCCCGTTTAAAGGCGGCGGCGGTGGCGCCCGGCGCCTCCTGTGACAGCGGCAGCGCCGCTCCGATCCTCCTCTGGCGGCCGCCGCCATGTACCGCTACTTGGGCGAGCTGCTGGCGTCCCGCCTGGCCGCCGGCTCGGTGCTGGCGGGCGCGGAGCCCGGCGGGCCGGCGGCGGCGGCGGCCGGGGGAGCGGCGGTGGCGGCGTGGGGCGGGGGCCGGTGCCCGCGGCGGCACTACTGCGAGGCGGCGAAGAAGGAGGACGACCCCAACTTCTTCAAGATGGTGGAGGGGTTCTTCGATCGCGGCGCCAGCATCGTGGAGGACAAGCTGGTGGAGGGGCTGCGCACCCGCGAGAGCATGGAGGAGCGGCGCCACCGCGTCCGCGGCATCCTCCGCATCATCAAGCCCTGCAACCATGTGCTCAGCGTCACCTTCCCCATCAAGCGCGACAACGGCGAGTGGGAGGTGATCGAGGGCTACCGGGCGCAGCACAGCCAGCACCGCACGCCCTGCAAGGGAGGTGAGCCCCGCCGCCTTCCCCGGGCCCGCGGAGGGCCGGGCTGCCGGGCCCGCGGCCGCCCCGCCCCGCCGTGCCCCGACAGCCCTGCCTGCCCCGCCGGCATGTCCCGCTGCCCTCCCGGACAGGGCAGACGGCGGCTCCCTGTGCCAGCCGCGGGATCTGTACCCAGGGGAAGGTAGGGGCAGAGCGGTACCCGCGGGTGACCCGGGCCGGTGTCACGGCCGGGCCTTGGTCACAGCCACCGCCGGGCTGGCCCTGGGCGAGGAGAGCGGTGCGAGGGCAGCGCCCGCCGGATTTTAACTCGGCGTGACTCAGACCTCGGTAGTGTGTGTTGGTAAACGTGAGAACAGCGCGCTGGGAGTGCCCGCTCTTGAGTCGGGAGCTGGAGGAGCCGCTGTCCCTTAACGCTCTACCTGCTGTGTTGGCGAAATCTGAATGCTCACACAGCAAACATCCGTAGGGAGAAATAACAAGTTTTGATAACAAGTTAGCTGTGTGTCCAGATATAGGCTGAATACACAGGAAGACAAAAGTGATTTTTCTAGGAGTGCCGAGCTCGGCATAGGTGACACCAACACATGCCAAGGGACCGGGAGGGTGAATCCCGCTGGGCTCTCATGGGATCGGCTGTGATCTCAGAGGAATCAAACTCCATTTTAGTCTGGGATAGATGGCATTTCCTTGCAAAACAAGTACAGATGTCCTCCAGCATAACTTAAGATCTCTGATCTATGTGGATGGACAGTTAGGTATTGGAAACCATTTCAGGACTGTGGCTCAAACCAGAGCTTCTATAGGCTGTAAACACATTTATTTTTCTTCAGTGGAGACCAGCTTTGTGGTAGATAATGATGGTTACAGAAAGCAAGTGATTTCTTATCAATGAAGACCTCTAACTTCGGGACTGGAGTAGGAAAGGTGTTCTTAGGTAACTGTGTTTGTGACACTTCAGCTGGTGTGTATATGTGACATGGGGATTTGTCTCTTTGCAGCACAAATAGTCTGTCCTATTAATGTCATTCCTAACATTCCAAAATCAAATATGTAGTGAGTGTCCTGTGAGATGTTTAATTCTTACCCAAAAGAGGCTAACTCAACTTGGGGTGTTTACTTGATAAAAGAATGACCAGCATCAAACTGAGTCTCAGCTTGGGCGTGGCTGAAGCTTACTCTGTGGGGCTACTGTTTCTCTGCCATTACTATAATTTCTTTTAAAATACTGATAGTTATTACACTGCTGTTTTGTCACTGCTTAAGTTAAGTTACTCTTTGCTGCTGCTTAGAAAAAGTCCTTTGCTGTACAGCCGGTGTTACTCTTAAGATCTCTGCTTGTATAACAAAATACAGTTTGGTGGCAAACAAAGTAATGAGATAATATATGATGGCTTCTAATATTTCACATTAGTATTGCTCAGGACTGAAGGAATTAGTGTTTTCACAACAAAACAATTATACAATGTTTTATAACACTTTACATTAACAAAACCCACCAGGTGGGTGATTGGACATCCTCTGTTCTGATACCTACACTTCTAAATCCTCAACAGAATTCTTGATTTTTGATGGCATTTGCTATCCCTGTCTGCACTGACACTGAAACAAACTGTGAAGCACTTATGTAAAGTTACAACTGTAAATTTCAAGGCAATTGAAAATGAGAGCTAAAGGAAATAGGAAGTCTCAATACATTGTCCCTTTCTTCTTGTGCTGCTCCCTACCCTTTGTGGATTTAGGGAAGGAATTGCAAATGATATTTCCTTTCTATTCTTCAGCATAGTGATCTTTAATAGATTTCGCCTTCTAATGCTCTCTAGGAATTTGCCCACTATCAGATGACAAATCTTGGATGTGCACTAAATTTAAATGGGATGCATGTTAAGAGTAGATCAACTGCTTGAAACCTGCTATGAAAAAAAAAGTGTGAGGAAGTAGAACATTTCTACTTAAACTGCAAAGGAGTGGTAAACATATTTCAGCATTTAGAGTACATTTGATCCACCCAAAATGCACCAACAACTTGAGCTTTTGTCTAAAAGGGATTTTTAAACTAGAATCCTAGTAGATTCTGCAGGAGTAAAAGCACAAACACAATGAAATACTACCCAAAATTCATACAATAGTATAAAATGGGAAAACATTCTGAAGTGAGTGTCCCACACACTGTGGACCCCGAGTCCAATGTAAGTAATTCTCACCATGAAGAAACAGCAAGGGACATAAGGCCACCCTTTAAAAGAAGGGGCGAGTTGGCAAGCAGGAGGCTTGGAGAATAGGAGGAGGAACACAGCTTCCAGATCTTTTCAGATGCAAATTTAACTTTGCACTTCCTGAGAAGTAAAATTTGGTAAAGTGAGGTTCCCCATTCTGCTTTTTTTTTTTTTTTTTGCCTTGTTTTTAGGATGTGTATTTTGTAAGACAGTGTTTAGTTACTGCTAGATGATCACTAGCAAATCGGGATGCTTTGTCATGTCTGTCACTCTTTCAAGGAGCATTGTGCTTTAAAAGCTCATTTCTTGTATTTCTTGAGGTTTACATAAACTGAAGGATAAGAGATGCTGTTTAGAGAATCCTAAAATACTGTTCTGTATGCAGATTAGACAAATTATTAAAGTACACTTTAAGATTCAAGTATGGAATGTAAGAAAACAAATACTTCTAGGCCTTTTATGGGCTGTCTTCCATTAGTTGTTCCTAATTTCTTTTTGTACATCCATACCAAAATACTGCATCAGTGATTGTATGTTACTTCTGAATACCTTTTTGTTCATAAGGACATTTACAGATTTAACCATGAACTAATGAAGAGTTTATACTGTAAATCAAATTTGAAAACCTTGATTTAAATGCTCTAAACTTGAAGTCAGCTGAATTACTCAAAGAAACAGAATCTAAATGAACATTTTAATTATCTGCACTTTAGCATCAGCTTCTGTTTCTACTAATTGTTTGTAGCTAACAGTATAGCATTTAGATTATGTTCCTTCTGTCATGGATATCATCTTTAATTTCTTTGGCTGCTCATTCTCTTTTGCAGTGAAACCTCAATCCCTGCTTAGTGGTCCAGCCCAAGTACAGAAAGGGCCAAACTTTTAAATGCAAGGTTGATCTTTATAAATCTCTCATGTGCATGCAGATGATATCTGCTGGTAGACATCATCAGTTCCTTGACTAGTAGCCCTTCTGCACCTCCTTCTCTGCTGGCTTCTCTGTTACAGCCAGATGAGGGCAAATTCAGGATCAGTCTTATGGTTTTTGGATTGGCAAATTTCTACACCTTGGTGGGATTACTTGACCGTCACATTTCTATTCAAGAACTACAATGCTCTTAATACCCTAGTTCTAGCAGTCTAAAGCATTGTTCATGAAAATAGGAAGTTGTTTAATGGCTTATCCTACTTTCTTCTCTTCCCCCAGAGCAGGTGTAAGAACACAAGTCAACTTGTCTGTGTTGGATATAGTTGTGACTACATGATAGTGCAGGTGATCCTGCTTTGAGTCAAGAGAAGTGCTTTTCCAGAAAAGAGGCACTAGGTACTGAAACATGCTTTCTTTTCAGAATATAACTTCTGGGGGCTTTTCACCTTCCTCAGTGAACACAGAAATAACATTTCTTATTGAATAATGTGGCACTTACCTATTAATGTAGAAGTCAATCCTTAATTCTATTTTGGGGTTGCAAACCTTTGCAACTCGAGAAAGTGGTAATTCCTTTTCCTTTTGTGTGCTTCTCTTTTGTGGTTTAGGAATCTTTACAGAACAGTCACGAATATCCCCATTTAAGTGGTAGGTCTCACAGTATATTCACATTTTAAAGACTCCATTTTCTGTAATGCAACTGTTCTCTGGAGAGGAAAAATCAGTCAGGTGCCTCCTCATCCCATTGAGAACATGGGATAAGCAGTTTTCTTGTGTTGGACCTCAAGGTGCCTACAATCCAAAAGTAGTATTTGTACAACTGGACTGATGCTGCCTGGTAGCTGAAGTAATGCTGTGGGTCAGATCACTCTTTCCTTTGCTTGTGCAGTGACTTGCATGCCAGTGGCCAGCACCAACAGGAAACCACAGCTGCTCTTGTTCACTGCACTGACAGCTGCCTAAAGAACTAAAACAAATAGGGCACAGGAAATGAGATGTCTGAACACAGATGACTTTGTTGGAAAGTAGTCTTGCAGTTCCTACTTAAAATAATGAATCTTTCTAAATAATTTCATCGGGTTCTATAGGTGTGATACTGGTTAAGCAGCTTTTTATGTGATTGCTGGTGGCCATTTACCATTGATCAGTTTAAGAAAATAGAATTGGTCAGTTTAAGAAAATAGAACAAACTTTTTGAATTCCTACCTGCTTAGTAGCATGAAAATGACTTCATGTTTGTTAGGCAGCACTTACTGCAGGGATAAAGCTATTAAGTGGTTTTAAAACTTTTTAAAGGCTTTTCATGTTGCCCAACTGTCCAAAAGGTCTGTTATAAATGAAACCAAATGAATCAGAGCTGGGAAACAGCCTAACTTTTGTTTGTGCTCGCAGTTGCCGTAACCAAGTCTCACTGCTTCCTCATTGCAGAAAGGCTTTACAACCATCTTTAGTTCTAGACTAGATTTAGTCTAACTTTGACTTACACAGGAATTTTGAAAAGCTTTTTCATACATTACTTTAAAGTTCACTCTTTTATATAAAGACAAATGAGTCTTACTTTATTTGGTCAGTTGACTTGAAGGTGAATGAATCTGATTTGCTGTGTGGTGCTGCCTTGGCTAGTTAGTGGAGGAGCTATTCTTTACTGCAAAACTTTGCTATCTTCTAGTTTTTCTTCTGCCTCTCAGGATTTATCCTTCTCACTTGACTTATAAGTTCCTGTTAATGAGTTTTACTGCATGAGGTGACTTTTGTTCGTGCTACCCTTGCTGCAGTTTTCCAATGGCGGAGGTCTAAGGCTGTCACTACTCTCAGTGCCCAGATATCCTCTCTTGTACACATTATCTTGTTTAAAACAGTATACA